GAGTGGGGAGGAACTGAAAAAGTTATCAGGAGACCTGTACTAAAAACCAGGTTTCACCTAAAACTAGCTCTGTAAACCACAGAAATCCACATTAATTCTAGACTTTAGTTTTTCTCTCTATATAATGAAGAGATTATTAGACTTGGAAAAAAGATGAGTGAATTCCAAGTTAATATTTATCTTCATCTGTTTCTTTGAAATGTAAAATTTTAACATAGAATTTGTGTTTATATGAACATTTCCAGTTCATATAAAAATTACAACCCAGAATAAATTATTAAAGGAAATTATTAGGTAGTATGAAGTTCAAAAAAATAAAATTTCTATGAAATATTATTTTTTAAAATATGAAACCTTAGTTCTCCCTTGTCTAGTTTTATAAGCCTGTTAACCACTTTGACAGCATCAGGCTAAAGAATGACGGGTAACATCCTCCATAAGAGGTAAAAAAGAACAAATAAGAGTTCTCATATTTCTATACAGGAATCTTTAGCTACAAAGAATAGTATTCATCAAACATCAAACAATGGCAACATATGGATATCATAAGGGATTACCTCTTCAAAATCATCACTAAATACTAAAATTAAAATGTGTGTCAAAATACAAATGAAGTAAAATATCATATGACCTAGCAATTCCACACCTAGATATCTACCCAAGAGAAATGTAAACATATCCACACAAAAACTTGTATATAAATATTCACATGCTGCATTAGTCAAAATAGCTCAAAAGTAGAAATTCAAACATCCATCAACTGATGAATGGATTAATAAAATGTGGTTTATCCATACAATGGAATATTTTGGGTAATAAAAAGGAATGAAGTACTGATCCATGCTACAACATGGATGAATCTTTTTATTATGCTAAATGAAAAAAAAAATCAGTCATAAAAGACCACATATTGAATGATACCATTTATATAAAATATCCAGAATAGGCAAATCTATGGGGATTGAAAGTAGAGTGGTGGTTGCTAGAGGCAGTAATGAGGTTTCTTTCTGAAATGATGAAAATGTTCTACAATACATTATGGTGATGGTTGCACAACTCTGTAAATATACTAAAAACCATTGAATTATATATTTTAAACACATGAACTTTTTTTTTTTTTTTTGAGACAGTCTCACTCCGTTGCCTGAGCTACGGTGCCATGGCATCAGCCTGGCTCACAGCAACCTCAAACTCTGGGCTCAAGCGATCCTTCTGCCTCAGCCTCCGGAGTAGCTGGACTACAGGCATGGCACCACTATGCCTGGCTAATTTTTTCTATATATTTTTAGTTGTCCAGCTAATTTCTTTCTATTTTTTTAGTAGAGACGGGTCTTGCTCTTACTCAGGCTGGTCTTGAACTCCGGAGCTCAAACAATTCACCCACCTTGTACTCCCAGAGTGCTAGGATTACAGGCGTGAGCCACCGTGCCCAGCCTAAACACATGAACTTTATGAATAGAAGGTAAACTGTATCTTAACAAAGCTATTTAAAAATACAAATCAAGACATAAAAACTGGGATGGATAAAAGACAGATTGGCAGATTTGCAAGAGAGGTTCTGGATTTAGGTAGCAAAAGTGGACCTGATGGTAAACACAGTGCTTCAGGTTCCAGAAGTCTGTGTAAAGGTTTCTCTACCCTAGCACTCTAGGAATTAGGACTATAAATTAATTCTCCCATAGAGGAGATGATTAATCTGTTCTTCTGATCCTACTTCCTAAACTGCCTCCCAAATCTTAAAGTTTATCATATCTTTAGAATAAGCTGATTAAGTCCAACCTTCCCTTTCCCAAATCTTCAAATCTATTGGTTTTAAGGATAAGAATCCTTCATGTCACAATTTGGGGGAATTTCAGACAATCAAGAAGCACACATATCTAGGAAAAATTGATGGGGGAGATAAAGATGAGGAGGCTGGAATCAAAGGTCATAGACTGGACATTTGAAAAACTGCACAATGATATAAACAAAGTAGGGACTGCTCTATGGAATTATATTTTTTATAAAGTCAGACTTCCTATGAAAGTCATCTTCTATGGCATTCACTGCACATCAAATTTAATCATCTGATTACATTTAGGGGAGTGTTGCTAATCCTAATGCACAGCCAGGGTTGAGAATCACCATCACTTACTAGTTGTGCAACCTGGAGGAAATTATTTCTCAGAATCTCAAATTTTTCTCAATTCTAAAATGGGGTAAGTAAAGGTGGTTGTGTAAAGGGATATATTCCACGTAAATCCTCAGCACTGTCCTTGATGCACTGTAAGAACAACACTGTTCTGTCATAGTGAAAATAAAGTTAATTTTGGTAGTTCATCACCCATAACTGATTTATAAAGGTCCCAAGAATAGTGTATAACTACTAAATAATTATCATACCTAATCATTATACTTAATATATCTAAGCAAAGTGGCTAAAAAGAAGTCACAAGTGTATGAACTGGAAAAACACCCCAAGTATTAATCTAGGCCCTACCTCTTGTCACCTTAAAGAAATCACTATACCTTTCTGAAGTTTAATCACCAATTCCAAGACAGTATACAAAAGTTAGAGGCTCCGTTGACCAGATCCTATCAAATTCAATGCCAATTCCAGCAATAAAAGAATTGCTTGGGAACCGTTCGCCTTTGAAGCCACTCGTTCCAGAAAACGATGATTATTTTCGGCTGGCTATATAACTGTGCATTTCATGGACTAAAAAAACCAAAACCACCTCACCATTGTTAGCATAAATTTGGGATAGCTGTTTGTTAATTCATCTTAAATCTCGAAAATTCAACATCAATAAGTATTTCGTTTTCATTTTAAATTACTATATGCCTCAGCTCAGCACTGCCCCCTTCCAGTCTTCAAATCAGTAGCCCATGTGGAAAGCTGCGTTAATTGGATGGATGAAAAAGTCACAGGCAGGCAAGCCAGAGTGTGTGACACAGCCCAGACAACTCCAGCAGTCACGGAGACAGTCGCTCCCTTTGGTTGAGAACTGCCACCGGCCAGAATCAAAGATAAGCACCATGTGAATTACATAACCACAACGAACTAAAATATTGTTACTCCCATTTTACAGAAAGGTTTAAGGGCTTAGGAGACCTAGCCAAGGTCACACACCCTGTCAGTGGCGACGCCACGATTCAGACCCAGCGGTTTTTTGTTTTTCCCAGAGACCAAGCGCTGTCCAGTATACAGCTAGGCTCGCGCCCCTCCGGCGCGCCTCTTGGAAATGAAACCCTCACCCGGCCACCGGCACAAATCCACAGGTGGGCCTCAGGAGCCGACCGCCGGACCACCCCTCAGGCCGAGAGCGCAGCCCCGTCGCCACCGGGCCTGGATCCAGGCGGGAGGGCCGGCAGCTCAGCCCTTCCGACCCCAGTGCCCCATTGTTCTGGATCTCACTTACCTCAGAAGATGCAGGCGCAGGCCCTGCTGGAGCGCTCGTAGCAAGCTCCCGCCGGCCCAAAAAGCTAGGTCTGTGGCGGCAGGATCCGCGAAGGCGTACCCGGCGACTTCTCCGCCTACCCTCAGAAGCCGGAGCAGGCGGGGGCGCTTCACCCTCCTCGCGAGACAGCGAAGACCCCAGCGGCTGCTTCGACCCCTGGGACGTAAAGCGCACGTCACCTACGGCAGCTTGGGGGCGTGGCAAAGCGAAACCCACCCCCCCCACCTCCCCTCACCGCCCGGTGCGTCAAAACACAACACCCGCCTTCCTAACGCATGCGCCATAAACGGGCGCCTGCACTGGGGGCGGGGCCCAGCGCGCTCCGGCTGAGACCCGGCCCTTCCCCCACCACTCCTTACCCGTAACGAGGGTAAGGTGACGGGGGAAGAAATCACTACCGTCAACGTTTTATTAATCGCCGGGGGTTACGTAGACACTAGCTTAATGTTTGCTCCTAAGTTACCCGGAAAACACAATAACTAGCTCATTTAAACCTCACCAAACTCTAAAAGTTCCTAAAATCATCTCTAGTGTATAGACAACGTATGTGTTACAGGGAGTCTCACCTTCGGTTGCATGGCTGGAAGTAACAGAGGGATTCGAAAGGGATCCAAAACCAGAGCCCAAACAGTATCCTACAAAGTCTTCAGAGAGAGAGATCCACTCCATTCTGGGAAGAAAAAGGATGATCTAATAGAACATATTTGGGTCTGGACTTACCCAAACATACATGGTTTTTCTGTTTTTCCCCTTCCTTCTCCCCGAAATCTAGATTAAAATCCTCAAATAATATATGAAATGTGTAGAGAAAGAACGTCAGCCTAAAACGGCCCGTTGCCAGACTCTACCACTCAGGCCTCAAATGTGAGCGCACCACACATTCTAGAACTGAACTTGCTGCTTGCGTACCAACTGCCGTACTTCGGGCTCAGTATTTTCACACTTGCTGCCGCTCTAAACACAGAATCGATTGGTACATTATGGCGGGTAACGTGTGCCACGTATTTCTCCTTAGAAGCATCATTTACACCAACAAGCTATTGCGTTCTCAAAAACTATACGTTTCTTGAACAATGACTTAATTAACAAGGATTCCCACAATCATCTGTCACTGTTATAAAAAATAGTGAGTGGTATTGCTGTTTATGCCAAAGATGAACATACAAATGTCTAGCTATGTTATGTGGGAACAAATGCGGGGGGCAAACGATAATTCCTCAACCGTTAGACGCCGGTATAAGGTTTAAAACGTGGATTATTTTTCAAGAAAACTTTTAAATGCACACAACAGCACATAATCCTGCATTAATATTGCACTGCAACTAGAAAGTCAGTGGAGCAGGCACGCCTATCTCTCTAGGCGGCAAAAGGAAAACAAACCAATTTTTAACGTATTTTCTCGTTTACTTCATCCCCCTCCCCGAAAAGGCGGGCTAGGCCCCCAAACACGTGACCCTGCCCCCAACTCCGGGCGGAAGAGGCCGGCCACACCGCGAAGACATGCCCCTAGAAGCGAGTGGGCGGGCTTGCGCGCCCGGCTGAAAGATGGCTGCAGCCGCCCGGTAGCCACCGCCTGGGAGGTTACTCTAGGGCCCGCAGCTCCCGCCCGGTTCCCCGGACCGCCGCCGCCTCCTCCTTACCATGAAGCCAGTGAGTCGCCGCACCTTGGACTGGATTTATTCAGTGGTAGGTCCCAGGTCTAGCGGGGCTCCGGTGTCGACTGCCTGGGCCGGCAAGCGGAAAGGCCCTATTTCTTCAGTGCCCAGAAACTCCAAAATCCATTCCTGAATTAAGCATTTCACCCTCTCACCTCAACTCCGCCTCTTCCTGGAGGATACGATCTTCCGCTTCTTACGTAAGGGTTGCTGGGCGTATCCGCCTCTGGAACCTCATTTATTCAAATTTGTCACTATAAATCCCACTCCAGCAAATGGTACACGGTAACCTGACAGGGACGAGGGGAAGTACCAGCCACACTACAGTAATTTTATTGCTGTTACTTCCCTTTTAGCGTTTTGTGGTTTGTTGTGTTTTTTTTTTCAGTTGCTGCTCGCGATCGTTTTACTCTCTTGGGGATACGTCATCTATGCATCAACAGTCGTTGCAAGACGACTGCTAAGGAAGGAATACCCAGACAAAATCTTTGGAATGAATGAAAATTTCTAACGACTATGGATTTAATTCTTTAAATACAATTCATTTCCTCATGCTTATCTAACAAATATGTAGATTTATAAATAAAATCCATAATACAAAGTTCCCAGATTTATTTCTGCAGTCTTTTATAATAAGCACTAAAATGAAAAGTTTTCAAATACTTAGAGATTTGTCTTTTACATTCTCATATGACAAAATTAAAAGCAACCTAGATATGATAGCTTTTTTTTTTTTTTTTTTGGTGACAAAAGTCTTGTCTTGCTCTGTTGCCTGGGCTAGAGTGCCATGGCATCAGCCTAGCTCACGGCAACCTCAAACTCCTGGGCTCAACCAATCCTTCTGCCTCAGCCTCCTGAGCAGCTGGGACTACAGGGATGTACCACCATGCCCAGCTAATTTTTTCTGTATATTTTCGGTTGTCCAGCTAATTTCTTTCTATTTTTAGTAGAGACAGGGTCTCGCTCTTGCTCAGGCTGGTCTCAAACGCCTGACCTTGAGTGATCCTCCTGCCTGGGCCTCCCAGAGTGCTAGGATTACAGGCGTGAGCCACCACGCCCCACCCTGAGAGCTTCTGAGTATCAGATCATGGATGGAATGACAAGCTTTTCAATCAAGTTTCTAAGTTACTTCTTTAAAAATGCTTCAGAAAGCCTTTAAAACAAAAGTGTGTGGAATTTCTGTTCTTGTATTTGTTTATTGCAACATTTCACACTGTTGCATACTCTGTGAGAAAAAAAAAAATCTATCATGTGACTAAATATTTTTCTACATCCTGTTTTCAAAGTCAAGAATGGCCAGAGTAAGTAGGTGGTCTCTCATATCACATGTTTGGCATGTCCAGTTTTTATTTATTGTTAAATTATTATTCAGAGTTTCAAACTGAACAATGTTTGGGAAGAAATTTGACAACACATTTCTCAGAGTAAACTTTATTAAAGCTACTTTTCCAGAAAATACGTTCAGTAAATATGGTAATATAGGAATAAACTTGAGCTCATAAGCCTTTGAAATTTTTAAGTCATCTTCAATGATGCTGATCAGGAAATTCTTTCATCGGTGGAATTACTTCTCCAGTCTCTAGAATTGTATCACCCTAGGAAAACAAAGATATATTTAGTAGAAAAATCTTAAGTCTGCAGAGGTGATGGTTCCCTTCTGTTGCTTGTTGGTCAGACCTCCCATGGAAAAATCTAGTTGAGCTCTAGCATTCACTTCAAAAGGGACCTAAACAAAGCAGAAGCTGTCTAAAAGTGAACAATTGTATTCAAAATCTTAAGGTATAAGTGAAAGAATAGGGGAAATTTCACTCATAAACGAAATAACCAGAAAGGACATGAAAATTGTCTTCTCCAAGCGATAAAAGGTTCTCCAAGTCTGTGGTCCCCAACCCTGGGGGCCTCGGACCAGTACAGGTCTGTGGCCTGTTAGGAACTGGTCTGCACAGCAGGAGGTGATGGGCTTGGGGAGTGTCACGAAAACAATCAAAGCTTCTATATTTACAGCTGCTGCCCATCACTCACATCACCACCTGAGCTCTACTTCCTGTCAGATCAGCAGTGGCATGAGATTCTCATAGGAGCACAAACCCTACCGTAAACTGCACATGCAAGGAATCTAGGTTGCGTGTTCCTTAGGAGAATCTAACGCCTGATGATCTGAAGTGGATGCTAGCTAGCCCTGGGGAGCGGCTACAAATACAGATTATCATTAGCAGAGAGGTTTGACTGCACAGAGACCATAAAAAATCAGTCGCTTGCAGACTCATATCAAAACCCTATCAGTAAGTGGCAAGTGACAATTAAGCTGCATCTGGTAGCAGGCTTTATAGTGGCAAGTGAGTTGATGTACTTCAATTGTACAGCTCTATCTGGTGGCAGGCTTTAACTCAGAATCTAACACTTATTTTAATCCGCACGTGGCCTGCCCATATTTTATTTACCACTTCCATCCATGCCTCTTTCCCACACTGTGCACTTGTCTCAGTCACAGTTTTGGTAAGCCCACAAGCTAACACTATCAAAAGTGAGTAAAAAACAAATGTCGCTGGAGAGCTTCTTTAAAAAGGGGAAAGACCCAATGATGACACAGCAGAAGATTCTAAGACTGCCAACAAAATAAAAACTGCATTTAAAAGAAAATACCAAGAGTCCTGCTTAAATTATGAGTTCATTGCCACAGATAATTCGCATTCTCCGCTTTGTATAACGTGTGGCGACTGGCTATACAATGAAGCCATGAGACTTTCAAAACCGCTTCACCACATGGAGACCAAGCACGCTGCACTAAAAGACAAGCCTTTGGAGTTTTTCAAAAGAAAAAAAAATGTGAACACAAAGAATAGAAGCAATTAATTGAAGGCCACCACTTCATCAAATGTGTCTGCACTAAGAGCATCATGCATCATTCTTAGTGGTTAACCACATTGCTAAAGCTAAGCAGCCCTTTACTATTGGTGAAGAGTTGATCCTGCCTGCTGCTTAAGGACATTTGCTGTAAACTTTTAGGAGAGGCTGCAGTTCAAAAGGTGGCACATGTTCCTTTTCAGCTAGCACCATAAGTAGATGAACTGATGAAGTATTAATAGCAGAGGATACTGAGGCATAATTGTTAGGGAGGATTAATGAGTCACTGTGATACACAATGCAGGTTGGCAAGTCTACTGATGTTAACAAGGCAACAATGCTTGTTTTTTGTGATACATTTTTCAGGACGATGTGCATAAGGATATGTTATATGCGTTTTTGTTGCCAACCAACACCACAGCTACAGAACTATTCAAGTCTCTGAATAATTACATATTGGGAAAACTGAATTGGTCATTTGATGTCGGTATATGCATGGATGGAATGGCTGCCATGACTGGACAGCTTTCTGGTTTCACTATTTGGTGGCCACTTCTGAATGTGAGTCTACCCACTGTGTCATCCATAGAGAAATGCTGGCTAACTGGCAGAGGTCACCTGAACTAAACGTTTTGCAGGATGTGATTAAAATTATCAACCACATTAAAGAAAATGCCCTTAACTCACATCTGTTCACGCAGCTCTGTGAGGAGGACACAGAGCACACGTGTCTTCTCTTACACACAGAAGTGAGACGGCTTTCTAAAAGTATATCACTGGCCAGAGTTTCTGAGGTACAAGAGCTGCTCTAGAGATTTCTTTTAGAAAAACAGTCACCACTGGCAGCACATTTCAGTGACACAGAATGGGTCACAAAACTTGCTTACTTGTGTGACAGATTCAACCTGCTCAATGAACTCAATCTGTCACTTCAGGAGAGAATGACAACTATGTTCCAGTCTGTAGATAAAGTAGCTGCATTCAAATCCAAACTGGAATCATAGGGCTGATGAGTGAACATTGGGATTTTTGACATATTTCAAACATTAGCAGAGATTTTGAAAGAGACTAAGCCAGGGCCTTCTTTCTCCCAGCTGGTGCATGATCCCCTATCTTAGATTTCAGAAGAGTTTGAACATGACTTCCCAATCACAAAAGACCTCCAAACTGGGAAGGAATGGATCCACGACCCATTTGTGAATAAGCCAAGTGAATCAACTTTGTCCGTGCTAGAAGAGGATCAACTGCCTGAGATCACAAATGACAGTGGCCTTGAAAGTATGTTTGAGACAGCTTCAAATCTCCATACATTCTGGATTAAGGTCAAGATGGAATATTCTGAGATTGCCACAAAAGCACTGAAGAGCCTGCTTCCATTTCCAACATCCCATCTTTGTGAAGCAGGGTTTTCTGCGGTGACAGCAACCAATATGAGATTACAGAGTAGACTGGACACAAGCAACACACTTCGGGTGTCACTGTCTCCCATCACCCCGAATGGGACTGTCTAGTTGTAGGACAACAAGCTCAGGGCTCCCATTGATTCTGCATTATGGCGAGTTATATAACTATTTCATTATATATTATAATGTAATAATAATAAAGTGCACAATAAATGTAACGTGCTTGAATCATCCTGAAACCATCCCCACTTCCCCCTGGTCCATAGAAAAATTGTATTCCATGAAACCGGTCCCTGGTGCCAAAAAGGTTGGGGAGCACTGCTCGAAGTGATAAAGGGATAATCTTTATTTTGCATGGCCCCAAGAAATAAATGCCCTAAAAACAAGTTGCAGGGAAATATCTATAGTTCAATACAAGGAGGTGATATATTCCCAGCAACTGAATGTGTTGAGCAGTCACGTTTTCTATTTGGCTTATATAAAAACTTTGGCTGCTCAGCTAGTCCAGGTTATCCTTTCAAACCTAGAAATAGTGTGTGGTGGTCAAAAGGTAATAGGCTCTGAAGCCAGAACCAAGTGGCCAGAATTTTAGAACCTCCACTGACGAGCTGTATAATTTTAGGCAGATTACTTAGCTTCAGTTTCAGCCATGTGTTTAAGATAACATTAATAGATTCTGTCAGCCTGGCAGTCCCTGAATGACTGGATAGAGTAGAATTATCCCCGTCCCACATCTGCCATTCCCTAAGCTGGTACTGCGATATCTGATGAAGAAATAAATTTGTATTATGTTTAAGCCACTATAGATTTGGGGGACAATTTGTTACCACAGCTAGCATTATCTTAACAGAAATTAG